TGTATAACAAAAAGTATTACCATATGTAAATTCGATTAAATATAAAAATTTTCAACAGGGATATAAATATATAAATTCTGATTCCAATACACAAAAGTGTCTATTATATAAGGCCAAAATCACTTTCTCAAACACAAATAATCTATATCCTCATTTATATATTTTCAAAGTAAATCGCATATTTTTATGGAATAGAGGAAAATAGAACCAAATATCCAATTCCTCTATTTATAATTTAAATATTTAATCATATCAAATAAACATAAAGCATACCACATTAACATTACTCCATAAGTCACACTGGGTAGTAAAAGGTTTATAAATGAGGAATGTCATGACTAATCTATATTTTTAATATTAGGGGAAACATCTAACTATTAGATATGGAAGTCTTTTTGGTGCATGGTACGCCCCAATTTGTAGACCTTATCGATTTAAAAGTAACACTAAAAAAAATAAAAAAAAATAAAAATAAAGCACAGGGGTATTCTTTCAAATGTAAACCGAATAGGGTTATGTTATTATATAATCTTTTTCAAATACGTAAGGACCACACTCTATTCAAATTCATTTTTGGAGTTGTACTGGTTGGGTTAACTTTATGATCTCACTTTTGAAATACCGTTAAGGATATAGACCCATCTTTGGTACAATGGCAAAGCTTAAAGCTACTCCCAAGACGCTTCAGACCTTATTCAAATATTGCTAAAAGATATAATAGAATTTTACTATTATGAATACTTTATACATGTATAAACAAACCAATTCTGCTTTTTGCCTTTTCGACCACCGTTGCCATAAAATAACTAACTCCTTAAAACCATTTTTTTAATTAATAAATGTAATTATTATACAAAATTTACCTAAAATTTTCCCGTTGGATATGGTTACATAATTATTAAATTTTTTCCTTTTAAAATACTTCAAGTCACCATTATAATATAAAGAATATAGGAAGGATCGCTGTAATTTTGTATTTACATTCCATTTTGGGTAGTATATATGGTGTAGCAGCTCTAAAAATATAGGAATTCTTATAAAAGTAATTTCGTAGGGTCGAATCATCTCCAAATCATAAGGTCCTCTAAAATTCCAATTAAAAAAGCCTATAATTTTTTCTTTAAATATTGGAGTTCATTTTTGTGGGGACATTCCTCTTCAAAACTGGGAGGAGAACACGGATACACTGCTTTGTTATGATAATAAGCTAATTGGGGGCCACTTCAAAATCTTTTGTATAGAAGAAGGAAAATAATTAAATGTGTTACCATAGAAATATATTTTTGGACCCAAGGAATAGGGAATGTACTCGACATCACCACTATATAACCCGGGTCGTATGCGAGGGGTACCATTTCTTGGAAATCCCAAATAAAATATCAAAAGATTTTCATTATGTTTAAAATCGCATGGTGGCCTTATCTTTTCCGTGTTGGATGAAGAGATTATTGTAGACAACTCCTTTTTCGTGGATTTTATCCTTAATAATCAAACTCTGGAAGGGTTAAAACAATTAAGTGGGCTTGATTTCTTAATCAGTATATTTTCCATTCCACTCTGGGGCCCAATTTATTGTTGGATCTCAGTAATGGTTGTCGGTTGCCATCAAAATTTATATTGGTTTCAGAGATTTTATTAATTTTGACACAAGAATAGCCTTTGGTAGATGAAGTTTGTTTGTTCTATTGAGCATCTCCTAATTACAAAATTTAAGCATAGGACCGGTTTTAATTGTTTACTCATTCTATGTGAATTATCTATTAGGTGGACGTCTCAATCACTCTTCATTTCTCTTTTGTGGTCCTTATATTCTTGTGTGTATGTTATTAATACTTGCCTTATGATAATTTCTTGTTGATAACTCTCTTAAGTATCATATTATTTTTATAATAAGAGTAAGTAGGATGTTAAATAGTGTGAAATATAAAAGATTCGCTCGTTAATCTTGGGACTTTCTTTATTGCCACTATTTGAAAATAAGAAACTCGGTCTATAATTTAACTTCATATTTATAAAAAATATACTATATGTAGGGGTGACCCCACCACCTTTTAATTAGGAACCAGGCCCTTTTAATCACATGGGTCCACATAACAGATTATGTAAAATAATTCTAACAGTTTTTTTCCCTCTATGGAAACTATTGTGAAGGATTAACTTTCTCCGGATAAACCCTGATCATCCTTTATCTGCAGTTGCTCTTGTTCAAATTGGTGGGGTGTTATGGTTTATTCTTAGAGTCGTCGCATATTGGAACTGTGTAAAGTCTAAGTTAATGTTTTTTTTGTTTAAAGGTCTTTGGCTGTAATTTCTCTGATACTAATATATAATGTATGAAGTTCTTTACTTTCATCAAATTATTGCGATATTAGAATAAAATAGTTGTGTATCTTAATTGTGATGGAATAGTGCGGAAAAATAAGTATATGTGATATAAAAATAGCATATGAAGGTGCTTATATTCGCACCTCACCACTATAGTTAAGGAAATATTGTGATTATATGGTGATATGGATATTTTTTGTGTCGAATGTAAATTTAAGCTTTCCTTGTTCTTAAATTTTTTCATAGACCATATCCTTAACTATTTCTTTCTCCCTCAATATTATTCTCAAATAATGCACAACATTTGTTCTAATTTCTCAAGGTGAAGCTGATTCCTTGTTATGAGGTTGTCCAGTCTATTATTCAATGTCATTTGACTAGAGTAATTTACAATGTCAAAATATCTTGACCTATACATTGCGTTGCAAAACTTTGGTTGGGTCTTCTTCTCAATGTTTTGGTTTTGAAGGTTTCTTTATGTTTGGAAGGCTTTACCTTGAAACACTTATTTTTACAAATGTGGAGCAGGGCGCATCTGTTCGTGGAAGCGATTGGAGGTGAATACTTTACAAAGTATCCTCAATTTATAATCTCAAGGGTTGGTCACCAAATTGACACACATGAATACGTGAAACTCTAATCTCAATCGCTTCAATCGAAATGCTGCAAAGAACTATAAGTACTGCTGCTCACCAACAAAGATGATCCACCTTTCCACTCTCCCTCAAGACATAACAGAAGAGGAGATTGTTAGCCTCTTAGAGGAGCATGGCACTGTTGTCAACAGCAGGCTTTTTGAGATGAACGGCAAAAAACAAGCCCTTGTTTTATTTGAGACTGAGGAGCAGGCCACTGAAGCACTTGCTTGTAAGCATGCCATCTCGCTTGCCGGGTCAATAATCCGGATTTCCTTCTCTCAGCTACAATCAATTAGAGAAACCTCCTAAATATAATAAGGGAAAGGGTTGACAAATGGTAATACATTTTTAAGGATTTGGTACTCAGTAGATTTGTTGGTGATGCTCTTTTGCGATTGGTACTTCAGTTAGATTTTGTTGGGATGCTCTTTTGCGATGCTTCTCTCTCCTGTAACATTTCAATGCTTTGGATACTGATGGATTGCTAATTTTTTTTTTTGTTTTTTATTTTTCATTTATCGGTTCTTCTCAATTCCTGCTAATATTACCGCAAATGTACCAATTATTTATTAGGTTTGTTGAATTTGAGGACTCTTTAAGTAGATCTTCCTTGTTTGCAGATATGCTCAGTTTTGAAGAGTAGGAAAGGGGTGGGAATGTATAATTTAATTGAATTCCTTTTCTAGTCTTGTTGAGAGAGATCGTTCTCCTTTGTATCATTGTTGTTGTATATTTGCCTGTAATTCTGGCTAATTGGACCTTTCTGTTATATTTTTAATCCATAACCCAAATTGTTCTCTTCCTCTGTTCACTTTGTTTCTGCTTCTTCCACTGCCTCTCTCTCTCTCTCTCTCCCTCTCTCTTCTCCATCTCTCCTTCCTCCCCCCTCTCTCTCTCTCCCTCTCTCTCTCTCTCTCTCTCTTCCCCACCCTTCCCTCTAGTGTTGAAGTTAATTCAGTGGTTTCTGCCTCTTGCAAACATTATACTGGTATGATTTTAGTGGAAAAAAAAAAATACTAAATCGAGGATTTTTTATTGTTTTTTCTATTGAATTAAGTTCCTAGAAATCCAGTGATACCATTGTGTTATAAAACAATTTCAAAAGAACTCATATTATGAGTAAAAGAATTCATATTATGAATATTAAAGTCTGTTCGGTAAGATTAATTGTTTTCGTTGTTATTATTTTGATTTAGTAGCGTCATATTTTATAAAATGTTGATTTATATGACGTCATATTTTATAAAATGTTGATTTATATGAATTAATTTTTTATAAAATATTATCTTAATACGTAAAAGTTAGTGTAAATGTTATGAATTCTATATAATGTGATGTTTTATCAAGGATAAGTTGTATTATAAGGTTTCAAATATCTTTTTTGATTAAATAGAAAATTAAATCTAATGCGATAAAAATAAAAGAATTTTGAATTTAAAAAATTTTATATTCTCTAATTAGAAATTGATTTTATTCATTATATTTATTATATAATTAATACAATAATACAACTAACATAATGAATATTACCATAATAATTTTTCTCACTTATGTAACTTATGTAAGAAGTAGGTCTCCGGTTCGAATTCTCTCGATCACATAGTTTTAATTAATTTGATGAGTTAAAAGGGAGTGTTATTGTGTAGCCCTGAGTGTCATTTCGATCCCAATGAATTATAAAAATATTAACATAATAATAATAATAATATTATTAATATTAAATATAATAAATATATGATATAAAGTATCTAATAACGAATTTTCATTATCAGATCGTAGCAAATGGTACAACCAGTAATTAAACTCATTTGCACTATTACATTGCACTATTACATTAGAATTAAAATTATATATCTATTGATATACAGCAACCAGCCCCAATTAATGTTGCATCAGCGGCACCAGATTCTAGTGTGAAGAAACAGAGCGGATGAGCAAAAACCAAAGAGAAGAAAAGGAAGTTAGTACAATTCTAAAATTATTTATCATTTTAAAAATATAGTATGAAGCATAGTTATTAAAGCCTAACTAGTTAAATTTAAACAGGAAGAGTAAGACTAAATCTTACCTTGATTTGCTGCAATTTCTTCATGTATATTACTGTTCTTACATAAATCCAATCTTTCAAATCATCCACGAACTTAAAAAAAGCATGTCTATAAGAACGCTTTAACAATAAAACGCCAGAAACACCCCAAAAGCCTACGGCGAATCCAACTCCCATACCAAGGTAAAGCGATTTGTTGAATTCATCTTCTTGATTATCATGATCATCATGACTGGATGGAGAATCTTGAATATTGTCTTCTGGACATTTTTGTGGAAGTGGAGACCCACAAAGTGCTGGATTATTACTATATGTAGAAGCATTAAAGGTCTGCAGTTGAGTACCCGATGGAATTTTTCCAAGAAAATTATTATGTGACAAATTCAAGGTATTCAAAAAATTTAAATTAGAGATGCTTGCAGGAAGTCTGCCTGATAGTTGATTTTGAGACAGATCAAGCGACTCTAATTGCTTCAAGCCATCAATTTCTTTAGGAATTGCACCACTCAACTTGTTATTGGACAAGTTCAATTGCCTAAGACTTGAGAGGATTGCTATTTCTCTTGGAATCTCTCCTTCTATTTTGTTACTTGAAAGATCAATTATCCTAAATCGTCCAAGATTTTTTTTTGTTACTTGAAAAATCAATTATCCTAAATCGTCCAAGATTTTTATCTAATATATACTCTGAGCCCTTCCAAAGAACCAACGCCTCGTCATTATATGTAGAAACAATTTTAGAAACGCCAAGCTGTATAAGCCAGCCATAGTCATGGAGAATGGTCTCATTAGAATTCTCATCAATCATGGCTCTTAAATTGTTCAAGCAATTTGGTATGGTTCCATTGATATTGTTTATAGAGAGATCTAATATCTGAACATTTGTCAATTGGCACAACTGTAAGGGCATGCTTCCAGAGAATTGGTTGGATCGTAGGCTAAGATATTGCAAAGGATATTGCAAAGATGATGAGCTTTTTCCAAACCAAATAGGTACATTACTAGACAATTTGTTACCACTTAGGTCAATGAATTTTAAATTAGTGCAATTCCTTAAAGAAAAAGGCAACTCTCCTGAAAATTTATTATTTTTTAAATTTAGTGTTTGGAGTTTAAAAAGGAATCCAATAGAAAAAGGAATTTTGCTAGACAAATTATTGTTGGCCAAATTCAAGAACACTAAATTTTGCATATTCATAAAATCACGAGGAATCACTCCAGAAAATAGATTATTCGAAAGGTTACAGTGGATAAGTGACTCAAATTTTAAAAGAAAAGGTAATGGACCAATGAAACGATTAATATTTGGCACTATTCCACTCAAATTATTATAGGAGATATTTAAATATGAAGAAACTGAAGAGAAACCCCAAAACCAGTTAGGAACAAAATCAGAAATTCCAGCATTTGAAATATCAAGCGCAAAATAAGTATTTAGACTATGAAGCCATTTTGGGAAATGAGGCCCAATCTTGCAAGATGCAAGAAAGATACATCTTAAGCTGGAAGGGGGAACCCAGTTGACACTTATATTCAAAATTAGAGAATTACCTGATAAATCCAATAAAAATAATTTTGACATATTTGAGAAATGATGTTCGGAGATAACACCACTCAATGAATTCGAGTTGATGTCAAATTGTTCGAGTTGAGACAGACATCCAATGCTTTTACTTATGGTCCCATTCAAATGATTGTTTCCGAGAAATAAATTTCTTAAAGATGAAAATCTTGCAATTTCATCAGGCAATGAACCTCCTATTTGATTGATCAGGCAATGAACCTCCTATTTGATTGTGGTCCAAAGATAATGTCTCCAAAGATCTCTCAGTAAATCCGGATAGATTTTGGATCAAGTCAAAAAGTTTCATGTTGAACTTGTTATGTGATAGGTGTAGAACACTCAACTGAGACATGTTCCCAAAGGATTTTGGAATATAGCCCCCAATTGTAGTATTAGAGAGATTAATATATGGAAGAGAAATCATTTTATCAAAATCAGCAAGAGCTGAACCATATAAAATGTTAGAAGAAAGATCAAGAAATTGGATATTCTGGGAGATGTTAGACAACCATGGATATATTGAAGGAATCACAAAGTTGTTGTCAGAAGGAATCACAAAGTTGTTGTCAAAGAGAGAGATCTCTGTAAGAGCGGAAGAAGAATTGATAGGGGAAAGTGGCAGAGTATTAATCTCATCTCCAGAAAAGCAAGATTCTAGCCGTAATGTTTGAAGGTGAAGGAGCTTATAATTGTTAACTATCTGCAACCAATGGTTGGGGTTAACCAGTGGAATTCTAGTTAGATCAAGTGTAGTTAAAGAGGAGAGACCAGAAACCCAATCGCTGTTTCCAATATCAATAAAATGATTATATCTCAGATCAAGAAATTGCAAGCTAGACAGATTCCTCAGCACAGAAGACATAGTTCCACCGAAATTAGCATTTGCCAGATCTAAGTATCTCAACTTGGTGAGAGAACCATTTTTATCAATTGGAAACTGAGTGCCACCAAAATCATTAACAGATAAATCCAAGGAAGTCAGATGTCTCAGATCAAGCAAGGAATGGCTCATCTTACTTCCCAAATCCATGCGCATAAGATAAAGCTCTGTAACATGACCTGTTCGGTTGCTGCAAGTGATGCCAGTCCATTTGCAACAATCTCTTTTGTCTTCTTCACTTCCCCAAGAAGAGAGACGACCATCGTGGTCTATAAGGCCACGTTTTATGCTAAGGAGTGCTTCTCTCTCCCTCTCTTTGCACAGAACAGAATCATTTCGGACTGCAGAAGCTATTAGGAAGTGCATTAGGGACTGCAGAAGCTATTAGGAAGTGCATTAGAAAGAGAAGAAGAGCAACAAACACAGAGAAAGGTTGAAGATGCATTATCACCGTGATTACAATTTAGTATGTTTTGTAATAAATGACTGCTCTTTATTTATAGATAAAAAAATTAAAGGACTATTAATAAATAAATAAATAAATAATTAAAGTAAATTAGAATGCCTTTGAGACAGCAAACTATGAAATCAAACCCACTATAACTCGTGTAATATATAATAGAATGTCCGTCAGGAAACAGCTACCTCAACTGTGCCACCAACCACGTGGACAATACCCCCATTGACTGCCAACACTTGGTCTTCGTCACGTGATCTGTCACACGTTTCACTGCTGAGTCGGCTTGTCCCTACTCACTCGATCCGTACATGTGCTTATATATTCTCTGTACGGAAACGGAAAGTTAACCCGTCTTTCGTCTGCTAGTATCCGTTCATTTCCACGGTTCAAGACCCTTCAAGGCTTCAACTATGTAATAATTTCCTTTTCCTTCAATATTTAACTAACAAGACTAATTTATATAAATATGAATAATATATATATATATATATATTAAAAAATGGTATACTATATATATATATATATATATTTTTTTTTTTTTTTTTTAAAAAAAAAAAAGAAAGTGAATGCTAAATTTAAGGCGGAACACAAATAGATGATTCCAAAAGACACAAACACACTACCACTATCTTTTCCGTGACCAATAACAGACAGTCACGTATTCATGTGCCAATCAGACGTATGTCCTAATCCATCTTCTTCGCCTATTTAAAGACAAAGGTCCTCTGTGTTCTGTGTTTAAAGATGTCCCTTCGCTAAATCAAAAGGCCGAGATTTCGGCTCTATAAAACTCGGATATTTCGCGACATTTCGTTTCCTACGGTGTAATGGCAATGGCTGGCTATGGGCTATTGAAGATCGATGAAGGAGAGCTAAAGAGCAATCGAAGAACATCGCGTCTCGCTTCTCTTGATGTCTTTCGCGGCATCTCCATTCTTGTGAGCTTTCTTTAGCTTTTCTTGTTTTCTTTTAATTTATGCCACGTTTTTGATTGGTTGCTGAGAAAATGCCAGAAAATGAACCGCCGCATGAAAATAATTCAATGGAAATTAAGCCAAAAAAAAAAAAAAAAAAGCTTCATTTTCAGGTTTTATTTCTCTTTGGCCTCTGTTTCCATATTTTTGTTAATTTTATGTTTTTGTTTTTTCTTTTATTTAAATATTTTAAACAAACATACAAAAAAGAACAGAGTTCATCATATGAAAAAAAAAAAAAAAAACATGGATGACTTTCATAACTTACCGTTTTTTTGCATTTTTCTCATATTGAACAATAAAATTTTTAAAATACAAATTTATATTATTTTTGATTTTATTTTTATGGTCTTATGAGTTACAAATTTTAATAGTTTTTACCAATTTTCAAATTGCATCCAAATAATAAAAAATAAATCATTTGGAAAATATAGAAAATATTTTCCTTAGAAAATATTTTTTAAAAATAAGTTATTTTCAAAAAATAAACAGAATCTTATAATGATATTAGGACTAAATTAAATGCACAGATATCAAAATTAGAAGGTTGACTCGAAAGTCAACTGTCTAAGTCTTTGCATGTATTTCGTGTTTCCAACTGTAAGTTTTATATGTAGACTTACTTTTAGATAGACATGGCCGCGGTTCTGGAACCGCCAGTTCTGGTTTCGATTTTTTAACGGTTTCAAAATCGACGGTTCCGGCCGCTTCTCCGATCGATTTTTTGACGAATCGCATAATTTTTAAATTTTAAATTTTGAAGACCAATTTTCAAAATTTAAAATTTTAAAATTTGTGAAATAATTTTTTTTAAAAAATACACTTAAAAAAATTAAAAAAAGCTTGAATTAAATTTATTTTTTTAAAAAAGACTTGAACTTAATTTATTATTTTTTAAAAAAGTCTTCAACTAAATTTATTTTTCGTTTAAAAAAGTTGGAACTTAATTCTTTTTTTTTAAAAAAAAAAAGGGCTTCAACCTATGTATTCTCTTGGGATTTAGAGGAATTAAAGCCTACATAGTTCTTACTTACCTTGTACCAATTTTACCTCGTTTACCTTATTCGCTATTTCCACCACCGGTTGATGTTCCCGTTGAGGACTCATCGTAAAGATCATATAAATCTTCATTTTCTTTGAGATTTTCTTGTGCTCTTATGTGCTCTATATTTCGCCTGTGCTGCAATCATCACGCATGATCATCCACGCATGATTGTGCTTCTAGTGAATCGGGTATCATACGAGATCGTGTTTCATAAAGTATGTTTCCTCCTTGACTAAAAGCTTATTCAACCACAACAGTGGAGACCAGAGCTGCTAAAACTTGTTTTGCAATTAAAGAAAGTATTGAAAATGTATTGGCGTAATGACTCCACCATCTAAAATTGGAAATTTATTATCTGCATAATCATGACCAAACTGAAAGAAGTGGTTACATAATTATCAAATTCAGAAAAAGAATCGGATTCCCTTGGTCTTTTTTGTCTTTGTAGTAAAATGCGTAAATCAACACCAACACTTACCCTTTGAGTTGAAAATTGTTGATTATTGAATTGAGAAGAATTAGAAGTAGATGAACTAGAAAATTGAACAAATTCACCATATAATTCTACAATATTTTGTCTAACTTTCTACAATATTTTGTCTAACTTTCATTTGCTGAATACTACATTTATATTTACACACTTATTTTCACTATTTATCAAGATTTTAGATTATTCATATAAATGATAAGTTCAAAATTGTGTGTAATAATTCATAATAAATAGTCAAATATTAAGATAAAACTTCAATTTTACATCTAGGATCAAATACACAAGCAACGAGATAAAGGGGTGGTATATTTTTAAAATAAAATAACCATTTTTTTTCAATGAAAAAACACAATCTTTTAATATAAAATCATTTTCAAATTCTTGGAGTGTACTAACAATATTAATACATATAGGCAAAAATAAATAAGATGTAGGATAATAAACCGCACTAAATTTATAGGTAGCATCATTAAAAGTTTTCAAAATATCTAAAATTTTTGCACAAATATCCCTATTTTGTGTATATAAATTAATTTCTTCAATATTATTAGTAACAAAAAGGCACAATAATTCTTTATACGAAAAGGACTCGTTTAATAATTTATATGTTGAATTCCAACGAGTTGGGACATCCCTTGGAAAATATTTTGGTCTTTTATTATTTTCCTTACAAAATTTAGCCTGTGGAAATATTTGGTCTTTTGTTAATTTTCTTCTTACCCAAAACTTTAGGTGACACCCAAACTTTTCATCACTTGGGAGTAGATTGTCCCCATTAAATATTGTAAAATTATATGCTTTTTTTAATTGCTAGAAATATAAGATTCAAGAACTTTGTTTTTAAACTCATTTTGACACATAATTCAAAAATCAATTTGATTTCCAATTTTATCTGATTTAAAATTATTATCAATTACGATTAGTAAATTTTATAATAATTACATTATAATTACAAAATGTTTAAGGAGTTAGTTAATTTTACTTGTACAAGGCAGATTTAAAGTAATATTCTAATTACCTATATTTTTGCCATTGATTGGCTTGTTTTTGATTTGATGAAGAGTCTACGTATAGTGGCATGTAAAAGAAAATGATTGAAGAGGCTCGATTTGAATTTTTATTCGTTTACATGGAATTCTTTTATTTTTTATTTTTTTTTATTTTTTATGTTCTAACATTCTAGCTACCTAAAATCAATAGTTTCTATAATAGAATCATCATTATATTTTACTGTTGAGTAAATGTTATCTTATTTTGTAATAATTTAAATTTATAAATTGATTGGTCTTATTTTTATAGTGCTTTTAATATAGTTTTTGTTAAGATTTTTTTATGATTTTTCATTATTTTACTTAATTTTTATTTAGATTTATTTATATTTTTAACAAAACTTCCTTGATCTTTACTAAGCTATTTCAAGGACTTTTATAGATTTTTTTGCAAAAAATTAGCCAAAATTTGCATCAAAGAATATTCAAAGAATATTGGAGTTAAAAAATAGAAGAAAAAAAAGTAAAAAATAGCTAAGTCAACAAGGTACACGGCCTGGCAGTGTAAATTGATATCAATTATTTTTTATTTTTGAATATGAATAAATATTTTTATTCAAATGTCGTAGAAAAACAAGAATATGAAAGAAAATTGATAGTAAATATTTTATTTAATTATCAATTATTGTTATAATTTTATTTATATTTTATTTTATTTATATTTTATTGATTATCGTGTTTAATTATTTTTTATAGGAAATTAAGATTATGAGCACAATTATAAATTAAATAATGAGTAAATACAACGAGAAGTACCACGTGCAACACACGTGTAAAAGAACTGGTAATTAAAAAATAAATAAAACCAAAATTGCTATTGTTTTAAGGGAGTATATGTCCTCAAAAGTTCATCGACTAGATATTTATATAAAATAAGGAAATATTTGAATTCATATTTCAGTTAAAATATATAAAAAAAAATTCTTATGATATTTAATCAAAATATTCAATAATTTAAATAATTTTCCCATTTATATTTTAATAAAAAAAAGGAAAATTTTGGAATAGAAAATGAGCAGGAAAGACCTAGCAAAGTTATGATAGCAAAGTCATGACAATGATTATATATGTAGAATTAAGCTCCCTTTATTTCCGTAAAATAACTTCTAAAAAATTATTTATTTCAAATTTTCGTTATTTGGAGCGTTCTAAAAAATAAATCAACGAAAAATATTTTTTTCGTCAAAGGAAAATTAAGTCATTTTTAAGGACTTCCGTATTAAAGATTTGAACAAACTTTATTATACCTTATAAAATTCATATTTGTAATTTATATAAATCATCATAGTCGCTACCAAAACATCACCGTTTCACCACCGGACACCATCGGCAACACCACTGATCATGACGACTTCATAAAATTCCTTTTTTTTCATTTTTCTCATTATTGAACAATAAAATTTTAAATTTACAATTTATATTACTTTATTTTTATTTTTATAGGTCTATGAAATACAAATTTTAATATTTTTTACCAATATCAAATTGCATCAAAAACATGAAAATAAAATCATTAAAAATATAGAAATATTTTCCGTAGAAAATATTTTCAAAAATATG